CTAAGGCAGCGGTAGGTGTGAAATGGGCACCTGAGTGTCCCAATCCCTGTTTAGAACCCCTTGCCTTCACCACTCCTCTGTGATGAGCCCACGCGCCCTGGGCTTGCTGGTCTCTGTGTTGGGCGCATCACCGAACCACATCCACAGCCACGGAGGTCGTGGTGTCTCGTCTTCTGCTCACGCACCCTCGGTGCTGTTTCCCTGGAAACCTCCTTAATGTTTAAACAAGACAATGCCACTTAGACATTTTGCGTGTCCTTGCTTTTGGTAACTATCCTGTGTGGAGCCAGCTGATATTTTGAAAACACAAATGTTACTTAATTTTTATTCCTAAACCCTTAATTCTAAATCCTAAGAAATCCCACATAGTTACCTCATATAGATAAAAATAGATGGTTTGGCAAAGCTGTACAATTTTTGGTCCAGTGCGTCATGAACCATCTCTGTCACACGCTAGGGAGAGCAATTTCTGGTGAGATAATTCTGTGTCAAAACACCAATCACGTCTCACCAAACAAACTCCCGTGTCCATCAGCTGTCTTCGGTGAGACAAGAGTGGGCTTACTGGTCACCCCACAGAGAAAATGATTGAATGCTCCAAGAGGCAGATGAGAGAACGGCCAGGTTCCTGTTACAGGGGATGGATTGTTTGAGCGAAGGGTGGAGGTGTTGGTTCACGCGCCGCCCTTGCCTCACGTGACCTGGGAGTCTCCTGGTGCTCAGACTTCTAAATACCACCCGCCGTACGAATGAAAACAGACTGGCTTGGAGAAATGGCTGGTTCCAGAGCCAGAGCAGAGAAGATATGATGAGGTGGGCTTGGGACAGCTTGATTGCAGGAAGTGGAGTCGTGTCGAAAGGGCACTGGAACCGGTTGGAATGGAGCCCCGTGGTCGGATTCGGGGCAATATGGACATCAAAAAGAATGATGGCAACCAACTATTATACAAGCAAAAGAAAAAAAAGGTGTTTGGGGGAATGGAAGGGTGGGGAAACTTTAAACCAGCTAATAAATGTGAAAGGAATGACAGAATTAGAAAAACCACTATTTTGTGGGCTCAGATGGAATAATTGAAATGAGAATTTCCAGCAGGTGCTAAATCCATGGGGAGAATAATTGGGAAGTAGGAGGGTACATGGTACCCATTTATCCACCCCCCCCCCCAAGGTTCTGCTACAGAAGGGTCATGCAACTTTGTAATGGAGGCATTCAGCAGTAACCATCTCACTGAGTGAGCAAGCTTAGCATCAATACTAATGGGACAACATAACATTTTGTGTCTTCTGATATAATCAAATAGGAAGTACACAGTATGAAAGTGTTTTTGCCAAAAAGTATTTAATGTGGATGCAGACTTAGCTGTTGGTCGATCGGAGATACGAGGGATTTGATAACGCCGCGAGGAAACAATGAGGCAAATGCAGAATGTGGGACATAGTCTAAGACAACTGGTCTGGACAAAGGGGGGCAGTGGGGTCTTTTACCTTAGAAGATGCAGCAACGATAGAGCAACCAGCTGCAATGGGTAAAACTTAATTGGATTCTAGATGGGGGGTCAGACAGTGTGAAAAGACATCGGATGGGCAATTGCGGAGATTTGAATATGGAATGGATATTAGATAATATGGAATTATTAACTCTTCGGTGTGATAGTGGTATTCTGGGCACGCAGGGAAATACACTTATTGCTAGGAGAGGTCTGTTGAGTTACGGAGATGTGCCATGATGCCTGCAAAATCCATTTCACGAATAAAGAGCTGGCACACAGACTCGTGTGTGGCAGTGCGCTGGAGTTGCTGAGTAGATGGAGTGCTCACTGTAGTCTGTCAGCTTGTCTTTTGGTTGGAGTTAAAAAACATACAAGAAACTGGAATAAAAATGCAACATGATGAAAGCGAGGCGAGAGACTGGGGGTCGGCAGGCGGGCTGCGCGGCCCAGCTCTGTCCAGGCTTCTCTGATGGCGCCGGCCCATTTCCTCCCACCTTCCACTCTGTTCCCGAACTCGCATGGGCCCCGACACCCATGAGCATTGAGCGGCGTGCGATCCCAGTGTTATCGGCCAGACTTTCGATACCTGGGAAAATCTCTACAGAAGACTGATGGAGAAGCTCGGGGCAGAACCTTGTCTTCCTCATTGTTAGCAGTTCCAGTGTCTGTGACATTGTAGGCACTCAAAAACTGTCAGCCAAAAATTACATCAATAAGAGGGTGACCAAATGTGAGGATTGCTTGGAAAAGCAAGAGCATACTGGTGACCTTTTCCAAATCCACTAAGTACTTGTGGAGTGTTAATAGCATTGGACTAGTTAAGGGGCAAGTAAGACCACGGTTGGTTCTGGACAGAAGGGAAGGCCTGTTTTCAAATCCTCTCTCATGTGCATGTGATAACAACTTCATTGCACGCACATATCCCTGTATTTACGTGCAGTGAGGATACTTGCCTCTCTGAATGAACGACCGGAGCGCTCGAGTGGAAGTCTACTGTGTTTTTCTTACACGGGGGACATTTGAGTCCAACGAGGAACCTTTGGAGGCAGCAGGTGCAATTACGTTTTGTTCCTTGGTGAGCGATGAGTCGGCCACTTAATTATGTAAAAAATATGGCAAGAGAGCAGTTGCAGCCTCCCCTGGGGAGTAATTACCATCTATCTTGGCTGAGCGCAAGGCTTTTAATCTGTAAATAAGCGATTCTGTGGGGCAGAGCTGCATGCAGTGTGCTTCCGAGTCATGAAGGTCCCCTGATGAATTTTTCACGACGGGAGCAGTGACTGCGTTAGGGCCATTGGCCACTGCCTCCCGGGCTCCCGATGCTTCCCCTGTGGCTTTAACTCCTCCTGAAATATTTAAGCAGCTGAGAAGGTTTCCTGTAAAGGGTAAGATCTAGTGTCTGAGTTAAGCCCATGAAAAATCTCAATGTTGCAAATGGAGAGGAAGTAAAATGCGCCTCCTGCGAATTAACGAATAAACCAAGATGAGAAGCCAAACAACTAAACACTGGCAATGCTTAAAGCAAAGGACTCAGAGGTGCATTCGTTAGCTAGCAGGTCTCTTATTTACTGGAGGCGTGTAATTTTATTTTTGCACGTGCCATTGCAGGTAGTATTTCCAGAAAGAAGGAATTCTCTTTGATGGTGTGTGTGTGTGTACTTTGCTCAGGTAGATCTGCATCTTTTCGGTAACGGAAGCAGATTCTGCTGGTTTTGGGGGTTGTCCTTGGTGTCTGCCTTCCCTCGTGGCCCTAAGGGTTGATGTGCTAAGCAGGCTCTTCGCCAAGGCCGCTTTGCCACTTGACCACCAGAAGCTCCCACCCCTTTGCCAACTCGAAGTCCCTCTCTCCTGAGTGACTAACTGCTCCCCTCTGCTGAGTTATTCCCATTGAAATAGGGACATGTCGGAGCAGCGTCCATTGTTTTTGACAAGCCCTTCCTCAACCTCTACCTTTCTCTCTCTACCTCTTCAATCGTCTGTTCCCCTTTGCAACAAAATTCAAGAGTCGGTATTTTATTGTCACTTTTTCTCTTCTCCTTGTCTCTTGGACCGGCTTCAGTCAGCGCCCCCTCCCCACCCTCCCATGGAACCTGCTCCTGTCAGGGTGTATCTGCGCCCTTCATTCACACTTGGAGACTCCTCGCCCAGCGCCCGGCCGAAATCCTGTTCGACCATCAGCAGCCGCTGACACAGTCCCTCACTCCGTCCTGGAAGCACCGTCTGGACTTGGCTTCAGGGCAGCCCTGTGCTCCTGGTCGCTCTCCTCGGCTTCTTTGTGGCTTCCTCCTCTTTGCCTGGTCTCAGGTCTCCTCTTCTCCTTGGCCTTCTCCCAAAGTCACGCCGCACAATGTCTGGGCTAAAACGTGTGTGCTCTCAAGACTCCCAAATGCATGTCTGGGGGACACACCTGTGCCCTGGACCCCAGGATGCCGTATCCAGTGTCCTGCTGCCCATCGATGACGAGTAGGCATCGCACCCCTAACCTAGTCCCACGTGACACCTGGTCTTCCTGTGGGTCTCACACCCGGACGAGTGCTGTGGGCCCCTGTCTGGTTCACCGTCCCACTCCTTAACACCCTGTGCATGCATGCATGTATGTATTTCAAATTCTCACCTGAGGGCATATTTATTGATTTTAGTGAGAGAGGAAAGGGGGAGGGAGAGAGGGGGAGAGAAACGTCAGTCGGTTTCCTCCCCATACATACCCTGACTGGGGATCGAACCTGCAACCTTTTGGTGCACGGGATGATGCTCCAGCCAAGTGTGCACTGGGTCAGGGGGCTCAAGTCCCTTTTAATTTATATTCAAACAGCCCCAAAGACCCTTTAAAAACATCAGATCCCATCCTTCCTCTCTCCCCAGGCTTCCGGTGACTTCCTTTGGAGTAAAGGCCTGTCCAACAAAGTCCTTCATCCTCTGATCCCATTACCTTGCTGCTCACCTCCGCCCTCTCTCCTGGTCCTGCCCTGGCCCCGTGGTCCCTTCCTCCGACTTCCACAGACACTCGGCCTCAGGGCCCGGGTTTGGGGTGTTTCTCCAGGCTGGAGGCCCCTGTCCCGTCAGTCCTCCTGGCTTGGTCCGCGCCACCTCACATCTCCGCTCTCCTGTCCCCTTCGCACCGACACCTCCCTAACCATCCCATTCACGCTCCCCCACCTCCCTACCCACCACTCCCGAGCCCCCTTCAGGTATTTTTCTCTGTTGCGCAGATCGCCAGACGAGAGTACAAATACGTGCTCTTTGTTGCTAGTTTGCCGTTGTCTGTCTTCTCTCAGTGGAGTGTGAGTTTCATGAAGACAGACGTTCCGTCTGCTTTGTTCACAGCTGTGTCTCCTGTCCCCGAGGGAGTGGGTGCTCACTAAACGCTGCTGCTGAAAGAGTTACTGAAAAGCAACCTCAAAAGCTGATGGGTTCTCCCTTGTCACTTTTCTAAGGCACTCTGGGTGTGACAGAGGACAGAAAGGGTGCAGAATGACCCGCTGTGTGCTAACAGCTGTCTCCCTCCCTCAGTTCCTCTGTTTGAAGAACATACGGACGTTTCTGGTGGCCTGTTGCGAGACCTTTGGAATGAGAAAGAGCGAACTGTTCGAGGCGTTCGACCTGTTTGATGTTCGTGACTTTGGAAAGGTAATTTTGGATTTTATTTTTTCATGTATTTTTTTTTCGTTGTTGGAGAACGTTTAATCAAATACTTATGGTTTCTTAGCTTATTGAAACAGGATGTGTGACTTAAGTGGCCTGTGTATCCGAATTATGTCGTTAAATTTCACATAGGTGGCTTAGCCAAAAACAGAACAAAGCAAACCAAACCAAACCAAAACACCACCACCAACAAAAAAGATGAACAGTGAAAGGACAGCAAACTCACAGTTATTAACAACCAAACCTATAACAAAAGCAAACTAAGAGGACAGCTAGATCAGGAGTGGAACCATAGAAGTAGAGATCACATGGAGGGTTAGCAACAGGGGAGTGGGAGGAGGAGAAGGGGGGAGAAGGTACAGAAAATAAGTAGCATAGACAGTAGGTAGAAAATAGACAGGGGGAGGGCAAGAATAGTAGGGGAAATGTAGAAGCTAAAGAACTTATGACACGTGTTCATGAACTAAAGGGGGGAATGGTGGGGGAGGGGTGTGCAGGGTGGAGGGGAATGAAGGGGGGAAATTGGACAACTGTAATGGCATGGTCAATAAAATATATTTAAAAAAAACACCCCCCCCCCAAGAACAAAACCCCCAAAGCAAAAAAATGAACAACAACCCCAAGGTGCAGTAGCAGTGGTCTCAATGAGCTGAACAGGGTTTCTCATTCAAAGCAGTACGGGAGAAATCTGTTACGCAGGCGTACCGCCTCCTGCTGATTACGTAGGAGGAGGGGCTCACTGTTTTCCATCCTGTAGGTAGTTGGTTGGGCCCTCGTGTGTGAGGACCAGTTCTTCCCCTCCGGTCTTCTCTCTACCCAAAGGACGCCTCAGTTTTGGAAGTTAGGGATGTTCCATTACCCCTTGCTCTGTGTCGACTTAGGGAAGACACAAATCACCGCAGGGTTCGAGGTTGCTCAGTAACTGCTGTGCTAGGATTTCGGCAGACGTATGCTGGATCGCAGTGACATTCGCCACGAGGAAATGTTTTAATGTTTATGACTCTTGTGTGTACACCAAACACTGGTGTATAATAGCTGATTGAAATCATCCTTTTGGAAGTTATGGTCATTTATTTTGTGGTCATTGGGCAGAGAGTTAGACTCTTTGCATGTAAGAAGCCATGAAAGGCGACCTTATTTTAGCCCCTGCTGGTATAATTGCCTTATGAAACTAAGCACCTCAAAAGGGCGGGGGGAACTACACGATATTGAGAACTTTGCCATTACTCTTCTAATGCAGGTGCTTGTATCTGAAAAACAAAATGCTCTTTGGGAATGACACTTGCTATGATTTGTAAGATGGAATATTTTGGTTATAAAATAACCCAGGCAGTGGATTGGTTTGCTTGGCAATGGGTATAAATAGCACAAACTTGAAACAAACATAAGGAAGTGGATGCTGAGGTGCAGCAAGATGGTGACGCCACCCTGCCTGGCAGAGAGAGGCCCGGGTTCTTGACGCAGGGGTGCTCGGTGATCTCTCGGGAGTCCCCAGTCTTCCTGACCACCGCCCGACCACCTGCCAGCTGCAAGCCTGCACAAAACGAAATGGGCGTGAGAACATGGTTTCGGAGGTTCCCTTTTTCTCTGGCAAGCTGTGATTTTACTGCCATGAGGTCCAAAATACATGCTAACGGATAACACAGGATAATAAGTACAAGGAACTGAAAACCGAGCCTCCCGGTGAGGAGGTGGTAGCACACCCGTCCGTGGCCGTGAACTGAAGCCGTGGAGACAAACAGGGACCCGGTAGGATCCTGGGTGAGGCGGACAGTGCTCTCAGCTCTTGGTGTTGAAAAATGCCCCAGCAGCATAGAAAGATAATTCTGTTTTTATCCTTTGATCCTTTCCCCTATTTTGTTTTTTAACCTTTGATTTTCCTTTCTTTTCACCCTCTCTTTTGGGAAATGAGAAATAGAAATGAATTGGGGAAATGAAAAATGGGCGGAAAAAGCCTTGACTTCAGAAAGCTTTTCAAGGAGCTTTGCATATTTTACTTGAGTTTGCAAGAAGTGATATTGACAAAGACCGGGAAATCAAATCAAGTTCTTCAGAAACTCCTGGCCTTGCTCTGGTGGAATAACCTTGCCTGCTGGGCTGATCAGACCCCGGGAGCTGTGTAGAGCTATGGAGGTTATAAAAAGCTGAACACACCGGGATAAGCTGTATGCTTCTCACGGTGAATGTCTTTCTGGCTCCTTAAAAGATGTGGGCAGTGGTAAATCTGAAACAGAATGGAACTTGGGATTGCGGTCGAGAACTTGATCCCCTGCTTACCACTTTCAATTCACCACGTACATTTTCACCACGGCCAAGATCAGTGCAGCTCACTCACTAGAACAGCCTGAGGCCGGCACAAACCACCTCGGACAAAAGCGCACAGGACGCTGCCATGACTACCAGCATTGCTCCTGTGAGACATTATCAGTTGACGCAGAACCACCGCTACCACCACTTACTGAGCACCTTCAGTGCAGTAGAATAGGCATCTTTCCAATCCTCACACGTGTGTCATTCTTGTCCCTCCTCGGCACGGCCCTGGGGGCTGTAAGGACTTCTATTTCCCTCTCCATCCGGAGGAGAAAGCCTGGACCTTGAGTCATGTGTCCAGTAGAGACTGGGGCAGTGGCGTGACCCCAGGCGTGGCCGGTTCTCCGCTGCTGTGTCATTGTGTGGACGTCCGCACAGTGGGTGCCACCTGCCAGCCCAGTCCCAAGGGCTGTGCGTGTGTTGACCCAGTTCTCATCTCAATCCTGCCCCCACCTCGGGGCTGTCCCAGTCCCCACGGGCAGAGCCTTTATTTTAAGCAGTGGAATTTGGGCAGTTCATGCAGTTCTTCATTTTTAAGTTTAAATAAACATGAATAGAGTAGAGTGTTCACTTACAAAATAATTTCCGACGTTGTGAATATACCTTTTAACAGGATGTTGACAGGTGAGCTTGTTTTCCTCCATTCCTTGGAGTTCCATTCAGTTTTCAATGGACTTAAAGCGAGAAGGATTTCCATCTGTGTGCTTCGCTCTGCCTCAGTGCACACGAACAGCGAACCCAGGATTCATGAGCATTCGGCATCTTTTTGCCTAGGAATGTATTGATTGCGATAATAGTATCCAGCGTTTTTATAGCATTTTGAAGCTTTCAGAGTGCTTCCTGTCATTTGATTTTCATAATAGTCTTGCAAAGGAAGCTAGGAAGCCGATGAGGGAGCTGAGAGACGGGGAGGTTAAACGAGGATGCAAAGCCTCCGTGTGCAGGGGTGTGCTGCTGCGGCCCCTGCCTGTCACGTCTGCCACCATGTGCGGGTGCTCAGGGAACGAGACGGACTCCTAGGAGAAAACCGAAGGATGTCCCTTGGCATCTAATGACCCCTTTGTCTTGGAGAGAGAGGAAGAAGGTAGGATGCTGCTCGGGCCTGCAGAGGTCGATGGTTAAGGTCAATAACGCCAGTGGATGAATAGTCCAGACTCTTGTCGGTACACACACCATCGATTTCCAGCTACGCCCTCTCCCCCTTTCCTCACCGGGGCGTGCCCTTCCTAATCCTTGTCCACGCTTTCCCTCCATGGGCTTCAGGAAATGTGCCTTGAATCACAGGCTTTGATAGGGACGCATCTTCTTTTGGAAATCGGGAAAATCCTGGGAAAGTGCTGATCACCGCACATGAAGGACGACTCCCATTTCACGTATGAGGTGGTGAAGAGCATGCATTCCGGGCACTCCTGGAGGAACGTGGCTGGTCGTGCCCTGCAGAGCCACCGAATGTCCAGTGTTGAGCTCTTCCCCGTGTGACCAGGGTGTTCATTTCAATTCAAACTCCAGAAAAGTTAGAGTAGTTCTGATCATTTCCTATACTTGGGTTTTTTTTTTTTTTTTTTTTTTTTTTTAAAGTCACTCAGGGCTTGGGAAGGAGCTTAGAAACCCGAACTCACTTAGGGGGCAGCAGGGACTCGAGGGTGCGTGACCCCCGCTCTCCATGTGGGCAGTGCTGAGAAAGGCCCCTGACCGAGGAGGAGTCCTGCCTGGGCTGGGACTGCCTGCGAGTGTGAGGTGACGCGCTTTCTAGGGTCAAAGAGTCACACCTGGCCCAGGTCAGTGCTAGCTGATTTTAGTAGCAGTTGGGTAGTTTCAGGGTGTTAGGGTTCAGGGCAGATGGTGTCAGAAGCAACACAGAGCAGCGGCTTAGGGACACAGGTGACAGCATCACCAGGAAGAGGTGGTGTCGCATTTGACTTGAGACCATGGTTTCTGAGTGGGATCCGAGTTTGAATTCTGGCTCCGGGTCTTGGGCAAGTTACTTACCCTTTTCCAGCCTCAGTCTCCTCGCTTACAAATTGAGGTTAGATAAGAAGTGAGATAATGGATCTAAAGTGCTTAGCAGTATGGAGGTCTGATGTAGGTCCAATATTGATGAGTACTAGCTGTGATTGTCCTGTGCGTTACTATTACCACAATGATCAGTACTGGTGTTAATGGGTTTTAGATTCAGGGGTAAACACAGGGGTGGGATTTGAGTTGAGTGCAAGTAGTCAATACTGGGGGAGGCAGATCGGGAGGTCAGCTTCCTTGTTTGTCACGTGGTGTAGCGTCCATCTGTCCCATTCTGTCCAGCTACCTTTCCCCCTCCTTCTGGATCGCCTTTGAGGAACCACCCTTTCCCCTTTATCAATCATGCGGTTTGGCTGGTTTAATCGATTATAATATCCCAGACCTTTGGGCACAGTGGTTCGAGGATGGGGCGGGTGTCTCCGTAGGTCCATTAGGATTTGCTGGGACATTGGCGCGGGCAGATTTGGTTTGCTCTTCTCCGCCGTCGAAGGGTGTGCGCGTGAGGCTCCGAGGAACTGCAGGATCTGGATCCCGTGTGGGGCTTCACCGCAGACCCAGCTCAGAGGGGAGGAGGACCCTCGGGGCATCAGCGTGGGGGGCTGAAGTCGAGCTGTGCCCAAAGCCAGGCACATACATCTGTGGGTTTTCGTTTTAATGAC